GCAGTCATCTGGAAGAAAAAGCCAAACTGGCTTCCAAAAAGCTGGGTGTTTTGGGTAGGGCTAAGCAGTATTTCACTGAGGTGCAACGTATGCAGCTCTACAAAGCTCAAGTACGACCTCATATGGAATACTGCTCGCATCTCTGGGCCGGTGCTCCCAAATACCAGCTTCTTCCTTTTGACCAAATTCAGCGAAGGGCTTGTCGAATTGTCAATCTCCAATGTCTTACTGATCGGCTTGATTCTCTATCGCTACGCAGAGACATTGCGTCTCTTTGCGTTTTTTACAAAATTTATTACGGAGAGTGTTCGGAAGAATTGTTTGGGTTGATCCCTCCTGCCTCTTTTCAACACCGTACGAGCCGAACGACCTCTAAATTTCACCAGCATCATCTTGATGGTTGGAGGTCTTCCACGGTCCGCTTCACAAGGCATTTTCTTTTGCGAACTAGCGAACTGTGGAATCGGCTCCCGGGGGGGGGGTCTTCCCTCAGAGATACGACCTCCAAATGTTTAAAAAGAGAGCCTACTCCTCCCTCAAAGGCCGGCAACGCACCCACTAAAAATGGGTGTCTATGGGCTGCGTAGATTGCCCTTTTTGGTCGTCCCGCAGCTCGTTTGCCCCCCTATTTTATAAAAAAAAAAAAAAAAAAAAAATGTCTACCCGAGCCGAGGCGCAGCCGAAGGTGAGGGTTGACAGTCGGAACAAGTTGCAATGACGGTTCCGCACGTGTACTGAACAACTATTTTTAATACAGTTGCGAAAAAATTATGCAATTTAATAAAATAATAAAAAACAATAAACTCAACTCACTAATCATTTATTTCTTACAAATTATTGTTCACATATACATTGGTACAGTTTTTTATACTAACTGGAGAAGTTTTAGATTGCATATTTATTTACTGTTTGAGACAAACTATTATTTATTTCGTATGATTATTCTTGTATATTTAATATATAATATAACAAACAACTAAACGCGCAAAGAACATTTTTGGAAAATGGCGCCCACCGTAAAAGAATATAAGCAGATTTTTTTTTTCTTCACCCATTCTGGGTAGGCAAAGGGAACTATGCCCATACAGCCAAGTCTTCAGTACAATTTTTTATTGATATGAAATGAAATTTAATGAGATGAAATGAAATCTAACCTAACTCATTGAATCAAATCATTAAATCTTATATTGAAACAAAGCAGTAGGTAGCTTCTTTTTAGAAATATTTGCATGAATCATAAAAATTTCTATGAATTTTTTTTTGTAAAAACTTCGTGGTTGGTTTTTTTCTTTTTAATAGACATTATTTTGACAGTTGGGAAAGAAAACGCACTAGTTCGGAAAAGGTAAAAAAAAGCACGAGTGTGTAATAGCCCACATCCCGAACGCTATACGTCCCTGCAATACGCCACTTTTTGAGCAACTGTATTAAAAAATATATTTTTGAACTTTCAATAATTATTAACCAACATTTCTACAGAATATATACTGTTAGTAGAATTGCTATATTATAGAGGCAGCATTATGAGTCGCATATTTTACGACTCGTTTGCTCACAAAAAATATTCTATCTACTTTTCTCCAGTGGCATTTCGAAAACCAAGTTGCCAACATACGAAACCAGGCCAGCGCACTTTATTGGAGAATCGTAGACAATTAATTGATATATCGTTTGCAATTATGATACTTAACAATCAGGTTGATTGCCCCAACCCTTTAACTAAATTTAATTTTCGTGTCCCTCTAGATACTCCAGGCATCCCATCATTCCATTTGTCCCTCCTTTCCGAAGAACGCGCGGCCAAAAGTTACCGATGTCTAGATTAAGCATTCTGATAAACGAGCTGGGTCTGGATATCCTTAGTTGCTCCTCCCACGCTTTAAAATCGATTTTGGTTTATAATTTAATTATTTTGTTAAATTTTTTTTATTATCTCTTCGTGAATTGAAATTTGTTTGTATAAGTGCTTGTCACATTAAAATTTGTATTTTATTTTTCTTGTACCTATGTATCAGTGTGCCAAGCTTTTATAAATAAATATTAATTATCGCATTGAGCAACTGCCTTGTAACAAGAATTACGACTGCACCAATTTCTCTTTCTTTGTACGTGCACGAATGAAACGCACGGTGAATGAAAACGACAAAATTCAACGACGTGATGCAGGCATAGTATCCTACTCCCATACTAAAAAAATATCCAGAAAATAGACATCTGTTATCAATATTAAGGTGTAAAAAAACACTATTTTTACTCCATCTGTACAAAGCCGATGCTTAATCCATATGAGTTTTGACTTGGCACGATATAAAATAGGGTCCCCATGTTCAATTAACATTTTATTATTCCTCTTTCTCATTCAACTCTGTGAGAGACGTGAAATTGCATATGTGAATTACGTGAGGGAATTTACTTAAAGTCGCATTGAATTTATTCACTTTCATTAGATAGTTCAACTCTTTATTAAATTAAATATTAGTTTTCCAACATACAAATATACAGCTTTACAATATTCTTAATTTACTTAGTAATGATATAATAATAATTAATAAATAGAAAATTAAAACAAATGTATAATATTTAAGTCACTGTGGCAGTGTACCTTTAACGCTGGCAGCATTTCCTTGCTGTATTGGGATACTTATTCGTTGAGCGAGGAAAGCACCAGCTCCTGGGTCACCGGTACTATTAACAGGCGCCAACTTAAATCTTTAATTAGTGCCTGTGCACTTGAACCTCATGGCCCATTCTCTACTCTAAATGCAAAGTTGGAGGAAAGTCCCTCATATTTGAGCCGTTTATTATTTTCCGTCTGCTCTGCGGAACTTTATTAAATTAGTTTCCTCTTGGAGTTTCTATAATCAAAAACAATCCAATTTTAATTACACCAGTGAACGTTAGATTTTCTGCTAATTAATAATGGAAACGCCCTGCGCGAATGGAATTGATCATCGACCTATATTGTAAATAACTATACTAACATTGTATGAGCAATAACGTTATAATGATTGTTTAGCTTCGATATTCTATTTATTTGTCATTATCGGTTTGACATTTGTAGTGATATTTCGAATATTACGATACGAGATCAGTTTTATTTTAATATTAGCTGCCCCGCGAAATGGCGTGTTGGTAGAAGATAAAATCCCTAGCTTTACAACGTTAGAGACTGGCGGAAGAGTTGCTGCATCTGGCTCAGGACACGCTTCAAGAGACTGCCGTCTTACCTCCAGTAATGGAGAGGCGCCAAAATAAGAAGACTTTCTTTATATTTTTTCTACATATGTATATTCAGTAATAGAATCGCTAAAATGGAGAATGGTAGTAGAAGGATGGAATTATTAGTACCAAATCATAAAAATACAACATTTTGTCAAAAATAAATTGGTATGGGCTACCCTATCACGGATAAACGAGAATTATTTCATGCTATTTTCAGATCTCTGGAATAAATTAAAATCGGCCAAGCCGTTTCGGAGGAGTTTCTTTGCAAGCACGAGAATTTATATATATAGATAAAATGTTTGCTAAATCCAATTAATAACTGTCATGACGAATTAAAAATTGCGTAAAAACTTTTTACGCAACGGGGTCTAGCGAATTTCCACCATTAATCAAACGCTTGTCTATGTCTGTTCCCGCCGAAAGATTTCAAAGTTCGGGAAATACACGCAATAACTTTGTAAGACATGGGTTGTATATAAATTATTATTCTAATGTTGTGTAATATTTTAGCTTTAACGAACAGGTTAACGTGCGATTCTCAAAGATTACTTTTTCCATGCAATTAGCACGTTCTCATGCGTTGACAGAGGGGCTGAGCTGAATGTCTTATATCTAAAAAACGATGGTACGCAATGTATGATCATCTTTTTTTTGTCTCGAGATTAGCTACTACTTTTATATATTAATTGTGAGTCAATTAACGTGAACTTTTACGTGTCTGTTTATACATACTATTTTTATACCTTTTTTTAGATTTTATTTTATTTAATTTTAGTTATTGTTGCATGTTATTTTCAGTATCTTTTTGTTAATTAATAATGCATCCCTTGTACTTTACCCTCTGTAGGTTTTCTTTTTTTCTATTGATCCATTTTAGGGTTGCCAGGAAGAAATCGCTTGGTAGCGATAAGGCCGCCCGTTGCCTAATAACTTATGTAACCTACTTACTTTTTGTTTTTTTTAATATGTATAATTATGTGTATTATGGCAATGAAGTGTAAATAAATAATGTAATATGCCAGTTTCTTTAATATATGTTTAACATCCACTTGTTAAACCTTTTTTGTATGATAACGTTAAAATAATATTGTCTTAAAGCAATTGTAGAGTTTAATGATTCTATTAGAAGGCGGTAATTGATTTCATATTTTGTTTACGCGTACCGCATTATATACCCCTTTTATTTGACGCGTATGAGTTTTTGAGTCGTTGTGCAATGTGCATGTATTAATAAAAACGTATAATAACGGTAAAACGTTGTGTAAAGAAATTGATTAACAATAATGTAGCAAACTCGTGTTTGTTTCGTTGACATACTTTTATGTATCTTTGTTATCATTATAATAAAATTTGATGAAATGAAAAACATGTCTGGTGTTCTTTTGTATATAAAATCACGACTCACAGCAATAACGACAGATATTTTGTAAATTAAAATATTCTATTCATTTTAGTACTATAAATATAATGGACAATTTGGTCAACATAAAACTGGCGCAACTCGTAATCGTAACTTTGCTTCGGCATAGATACGCCACGCCGTATCCTCGATTCTATTTTTAGCATCGGTCGATGCGCGGTCTCTTTCGCACTGTAGCGCTCTCTTTTGTTGCACGCTCCAACCGTGGAGGTGAGGTGAGGGGGGAGGGGTGCTATAGCGCCATTTGTTTCCCCTGTCTGTTGACAGTATTGGAATCACGATTGTACAGTGTACACGTTCGCGGTTTGTGCAGTTTATATTATTCGTGAACCATTATAAAACGTATATTTCTATCATGTCAACTACTGCTGAGGAACAAAGCATCAAGGTTATTGAGGAAGCCCTGTGTACATGGATATTGCAGAAATCTAGAAAAAACGGCAACCGCGCAGGAGTACCACACACAGAAGTTGTTAAAATTGTTTCCTATTTTAAAAGTGAGTTAAAAATTGGTAATAACTTTTGTCTACAGAAAAAGTGGTTAAAAGAATTCAAAGAACGCCACAAGGTTTATATAATAACCAACAAACCTTACAAACCCCTTACGCGACAATTTCAGCCCGCCGAGTTTGTTCAGCAGTTACGTTTGCACCCATCACAGATTTATATTGCAGACGAATCGGGTCTTCACTGGCGGTTCAAAAACTCCGATCCATTAGAGCCAGATCTTTTAACATTTTTAACTTGTGCCAACATAAGTGGCCTTCACAAGCTGCAACCTTTTGTAATTGGTAAAATAAAAAACCCCCCGTCTCTGGAAGGTCTCAATCCTCCAATTGTCTATTGCTCCCAGAAAGATGGTCTGATGACTAGGCAATTATTTTCTAAATGGTTTAAGACATGCTTCGTTCCCGAAGTACAAAAACGCTCCAGCGATGAATTAGATGGAAGGGCTGTACTTATTATTGATTCGGCGACTTATCATCCCCAGCCAGGAAATCTGATGCCCGACCATCCATCCATCGAAGTGTTATTTATCCCATTGGACCACAAAGCAGAGAAGGGCAGCCAGGATGTGTTTAACTATATCAAACGGAAGTATAAAGATGATTTTCTTAACACAGCATTAGCACGACCTGGTAATGTCAATAATCTTACGCAATTTAATATAAGAGATATGGCATATCTTCTAGCTGACTGCTGGAGTTCTGTACCCCAAAGCATGTTTGGCTCCTGGTGGAACTTACTTATTGCTGCGGAAGGGTCTTCATCTGTCCATGCGCCCACAGATGAGGATGTACAGTCTAGTCTAATAAATCGGGTGTGTGCCCAATTTGAAGTAGATCCGGCAATAATGAAGGCGTGGTACGTAGGAGATTCTGAGAATTCACCAAATTATATGACAGATTACGAAATAGTGCAAAACGCCCTTAATATGACATTAGAAGGCGAGGACGAAGAGGTATCGTCCTGCGTGCCCAGCGCCATCAAAGTAGGGGCACATGAAGCGTTCACAGCTTTTGAATTGTGTTTACAATGGGCTCAAGAGAATGGTTACGCAGCACCAGAGACTACCGTGCTACGAGAAATGAAAGCTAAAGCCCTGAATGTGGAAGAATACGAACCTCCATTGAAACGTATCAAAATAAAATCTGAGGACGAGGACTCAGATTCGTCGTCCGACAAGGTGGTCATATTTGAAGAAATCAAATTAGAAAGTTTTGAAATTAATGAATAAACTTATGTATCTTAACTTGATGTTTTTTATTATCGTTCTGTACCGTTAAGAGTTAACTTGAAGTTACGTGGTAAGCTTGCTGACTTGCAGCTTCCCGTTTCGACTACATAACAATATAATAATAATAATAATAATATTACATTACATTAACATAACATTATCTCGACTTAATAGAAGCGTAGAGTTTTTGATGAAAACTAAAAAAATATACATATTTTATTTGTTCTTATACCAAAGCGTGGAGCCAGTTGATTTAGTCGTGATTTTCTTAACCTTAAATCTTGCTTAAAACAAGTACTTCAAAGTTAATACTTAGATCGAGTTATAAATGACATAATATATATATTTTAGTTAATAATTAAAAGCATAAACAATCATCGCACACTTGAAGGCAATATGAGCCCTTTAGTTTTATCCACACTCATAAATTGTTATTTAACATTCTCGTTTCCGCTAATGTCCAATAACATAAGTGTCAATTAGATTTACGTACTCTTCAATAAGTCAAGTTAGTTTTTTGTTAAGCCAGTTGTTTCCCAGTTTTATTCGAACATCTCCACACAACAACCGCCACCGAATTTAATTATCACTTAGTGTTAAATAACACATTCTTTTTCAATTTAATAAAAACAAAAAAACTATCTAGATCAAACTGAATTTGAAATTAAATTAACACGGCTTTTAAATATAATTTGGGGGCCTCATAGCCTAGCGGTCTTATTAAGTGGCAGCTAGGTGAGGGGTACCGGGTTCGATTCCCGGTTCGAGGGCAAGATTTAATTTAAATTTGTTCTCGGAATTTGACAGGGTTGTGCGGTACCGGGCGAGTGCTTAAACCGTACATAGAGGACACTGTCGAATTTCTAAAAGACAAGCACGAATTATAAAAAAAAACCTATACTTGACGCTGGCTAATGCACAAATCGTGCCAGAGCCATAAGTAAAAAAAAATATAATTTGTTTGCATTTCCGATTGCCAATACCTAGATAATTAAATCTATAAATGCTGGTTACAAATTTATAAAAATAATAAATGTAATTGGATATTTTATATAGGAAGTGTAATAAACCTTGATTCTGGATGTGTTTTGTACCTTAATAATAGGTGAAGCAGCAATTTGTGAAAATTGTAAGTTTATGTAATGTTAGTAATGATAAGAATATTTTTGTACCCTTGCCAGTATTCACGTAAACCTCTTATTCCTGACCCTTACGTTATAATTTTAAAAATAAAATATAATATTGAATTGTTTTTATCCCAGAATCCTCCTTATCTAATCAAAATTTAACAATGCTATGTCCAATGTCTATCTCCTCTGACCCAATACAATAAAAAGACACGGTAGTTGAGTAAGGGGAATAAGTAAAAAGGCAACAAAATTAATTAATCACTCAAAGCTTTGTCTGTAAATAAACCACTGAAATGAAAGCTATTGTTACATGAAAGTGATTAATAACACGCTAAACTGCTGAAACAGAATACATATTTAATCTCTAGCGTATATTGTAACTGGAATTTACGGGGACCGTTTGACAAGTCAGTGACTTTTTAATATCCCGGGCAGAAACTTGAGAAGCAACACTGTCAACTGTGATCCCCTTGAGGGCCTCGAGACATCCTATTATTTGGAAGGAATAAAAATAAGTGCGTGCGTACAAAGTACACATGTCAGAAGTGAAACTTCTTTGTGAACTAATTATTGAATAATTGAGCTGCCCAAATCTCATAATTTAATTTTGCCTGTCTTTCTATATTAATGAATGATACTAAGGCTAATTAAAAACAGAACTAAAATTAGTTGTTGTTATGTATATAGAAATAACACCATAAATATGGTAACAATTACCAAATAATATAAAAAATTCATTATTACCATAATTGCTAACTTATGTCCCCATTTTCTAAAACCTTGGTCTTAGCAAAAAAGTCTTGGTTCTGTGCCCTTAAAAATACAAAACTAACAAAAAAAATGGTAATTTAGTTACTTAATAAAATAATAATGATGTTGATATTACACGTCGGAAATATCTGCGAACCTCGCTGGAATGCGCTTCCCCGCACCCCGCCCCGTTTTCGCCTATCCAGACTCCAGTACCGTTGCCAACGCAATCGCCGACGCACGTGTATTATTCTTGCTTTCGTAATCGCATTTTAGTGTTTATTGTTTCTCTGTTTGGTGAAATATTACATAAACTACCTATTTAGTGCTGTATATAAGATGGGTAGGACTATAATATATCAATAAAAATAAGTACACAAATAAAATATTTTGAAGTTGTACTTCTTTAGGCGCGTTATGAAAAATTGATGAGAGTGAAATTTTACGATTGCGCGCGCACCTATGACACAAAATTGGCAGTGTGATATAGCGTGCGCGAGCGAGATGGGAATAAGACAAACTACAAGTAAAAAGAAATAGAATATGCGTGAAGCTAACTTCACGCATATTCTAGCTTAGCAGCTTAACAAGAATTTTGAATGACCATGACAATTGACATCTGACAATGACATTTACCTTTTAAACAAATATAGGAGTTTTAATTATTGTTTAAAATTAATAATTATATACCTAGTTATTTTCATTATACAAAATATTTGTGAAATAATATAAAATATTTGTGAAAAAACTGTGCTAACCTTCCTGAGTGCTTCAATACAATTGAGGTTAACTATCCGTATGTATTATCGAGTATTATTGTTGATTAAAACTGAAACATGAACCATTATTCATTGCTTTTGTTTATTGCGTTTGTTACAGCAACTTTTTAGAAATATTCTACGACCCTATATATCAATAATTGAGAACAAAGATTTAAGCACGAATACTAATAAGGAGAAAATGAAGGCTTGGAGCGATTTAACAGAGAAGTAAACATTTTAATAAGTACCTGCATCTCAAAAAAATGACCACATTATTTAATCAAAACATGTAATTTTTCAGATTTAATCTAGCAAATATAAGGACAAGAGACAAAAAACAATTGATGAATCAGTGGAAGTGCACTAAATTGAATACAAAAAAAAGAGTTGTCATCTTATCGCCGTGAAACATCAAAAACTGGAGGTGGAACAAAGCCACCATCACCTTCTCGAGACACAATGGTTTGAAGTAGATTTCAATGAATTTGATTGTGATGGTGTCGAGGTAGGAATGTTAATTATAAATATGATGTATGGTTCAAGGTTCAACCTTTCAAGCATAGGCATATGCTTACAACATTACTTTATTCCCCTACAGGGTAGTTAGAGATATTGTAATACCTCAAAACATCCATGTTGCACTTGTAGTACCGAAACTCTGTCCTGCCAGAAGTGAGCCCATTCCCACTTATAATGGACAGTAGGTATAATACACCTTAATACCTGAGTGCGAACCACTCACCATGATACTTAAATTAATAGATGTTATTTATATATTTGAGGTTATTACAAATAAAATCATTTTGGAAACAATTGATATCCCAAAAGCAAATAAAGCCAACAATGACAAGGTAATAAATCAGTTTTGACATAACTTGAATACTAAAAAAAGCCAAACAAAGGTGTGCACAACAGTGACAACATAACTTAACAATTTCATTATTTTGTAGGATTAAAGAAAGGTTAAAGAAAATCATGTCGAACTGAACAACAAGAATCCCCAAACAACTCCAAAGAAACCTACAAGGAAGACACCGGTATTATATTTAAATTATCTCTATCTCTAAATAGAATAAAAGAAAGTTGCTATCCAGGTCTGTAGCATGTGCTACAAATTATATTATTAACACATTTATTTAATTATATTAATATAAATGTGTTAAAAAATTTATAATATGAATTATAAAAATTTTTAAGTTTTGCATGGACAGAGCTTAAATTAATATTCTCTTATTTGTTGCAGAAAGCAAGTAGTTTTGGAGAAGCCTCGTAGATGCACAACCAAGTAATGATTAATTTAAAATTACAAACCGAAATTCTGATGAAGACATTAGAGTCACTTAAAAATAAATAGTATAATGAAATAAAAATGTTTTAAAGATAAATAGTGTTTTATTTGTTTAATGTAAGAGAATAATAATAAATATTTATTTAATTAATTTTTCAAATGTAAACTGAACTTTATTGACTTTAATGACTCCTTTTCCAGTCTTTGATTATTTAATTGTAATTAATTATTTGCATGCAATCAAAAACTATTTTTAATAATGCCAAAGAAGTATAACTTCTTACGCGCGTACATAAGTACACGCACCCTTTTTTTTATTTTTACATCTTCAATTTTTTTTGCTATCTCTCCAGTTTGTATGACGTCATTAAGCCAGGTTCGCAGATATTTCCGACGACTTGTAAGTATTAAAAACAGCATCGGTGTTCAAGTATCAATCGCTCTCTCCCTTTTCTTCGACAAAAACGCTGCACATCTCCGTGACATTCCGTAAAAATTTTACCCTTATCAAGAAGATTCACTTCAAAAATTTGGAACAATGTTGGACTATATGTCGTGCTATATGGAAAGTTTGTCGAAAAATAAACTCCTTATTTGACGAAAACAATATTCGTCATTCAAAAAGTCACTTACTCATCAAACCACCCCTGTATATTGAGTTACTAGCCGTTTCGCGCCCGCTTTGCTGGACGAATTAAAATAAATTTTATGTTTCATTTTTTTTTTTTATATTTTTATTATTCTTCTTTTTAACTTCCCGCTAAGAAAATTGAAATATTTCGAAAATCGAGTTTTTAACAGATGTTGACGTTTAGAGGTTCTAGGAAGCCTCCCCGAATGTTTCCGCGGTGAAGTCCGTATGGATAAATTTTCATAAAAGTAAAACAGCAATAAAAAAATTAAGGAACGTTGGAATTTAATAAATAAATAGCCATAAACCATCTAGGAAAATTTCGCATCGAATGGTGGTAGTTTCATGTCGATACGATCAGTGGTTTAGGCGTGAAGGAGCCTCAAACGAAGACCATTTTTCTTTTATATATATAGATTTAATAAATTCAGCGTAAAGCA